TATAAATAATATTTATAAAACCTCACTCTTCTACTTAAGATAAGTAAGGGTCAATCCTCAGATAGTGTGGGTAATGAGAGTAAGAATTTTGACTTATTTTATTTCTTATATATATAGATATACTTGAGATTGTGAAGGATGAAATTAAATCTAAAAAGTGTGAAGATAAGAGAAATAAAAAGTGTGGTAGAGGGGAATGAATAAATCTAACACAATTAAATGATAGAATAAAAAGTAAACTAGTTCAAACTAAGAGTTAATCTATCAATGGAGAAGATTATAAGGACATCCCAAATCTAGATCTTGCACATACTTCATTGTGCACTAGTCTTAGGCTGAGTGGTGCTTGATCCATGATAAGTCTTCATTATCATGAGTTAATAATTAGTAAATAATATAGTTTTAGCCTTAACTCATGATAAATAGACTTATATTTGTGTTAAAGTGTGAAAAGTGGTTTTCAATTGATTAATGTGAATTTTTAGGTAATTATGTGATTTTACATGAATTTATATGATTTTTACAGTCTTACTTTTGAGATAAATGAAGAAAAAGAAATAAAAAATAAAAATAAGACAAAATGAGGGGGACCTGCTGGCCAGCCAGGCCCGCAAGCGGGTCGGAAGCTCAGTCGGGGAGTAGCCACGAGCAGGGGCTCGAGCGGCTTGGACCGATAGGGGCACGTGTGCGCCACTCCCCTTCCATGTCACCGGTGGCCAGCCAGCTGTGGGGCAAGGAGTGGTCGTACACGCGAGAGAAGGAACTTTGCTTAGAAATGTAACATTACTATATATTCACCCAAAAAATTGGCGCACAACCGATGTGGGACTAAGCCCTCAAAAGGGGCGGACAACCGGCGCAGGTTCGAATCCTCCCAAAGTCAAAATTCATATATTTTTATCTGATTATCGTGACTTTCCTGCAGATCGCCGGTGAAGGATTAAGCAACGAGAATCGCTGGATCATCGGCGAAAATCTCGTCAACGCGATTCGCGGAGCATTGCTACTAAAATTGCTGAACAATTCGCGATAAAAGGATTGCGAATCCATCGAGTAAATCATCTCCGATTGATTGACGAACAAGCCGTCGTCGGGAAGAGGACGATCCGCCGGGAGACGAGTCGCCACCTCCTGAGAGCGTACCAGATGCGATGAAGAGCCTCCTCTTGCTGCGCGGACATGAGGATGAAGCTCCCTGACACGCGCCCCACCTCCATCCAGCTCCTCTCCGTTGGGTGACAGCTGCCGAAGAGCCGCAAAGTCGCCGTTTTTCCGCTACGCCGGGTGACAGCCGCCGGAGATGACTTGACGACCCATTTCATTAATCTCTAGACTTCGCGAGAAGATCTAGAGATTGCCCACGTCGTCCTTGTCTAAGGAGAGCCTTCGAGGCCGTGGACACTGCACGACGATCCTCCCGAACACTCAAAATTCCGGTGCATCACCGACGCATCGCCGTTGCGACGCCGGAACTCTGTTTTCTTGCTTTTAACTTACTTTACGCTTCATTTAGTGATAATTTTTGTGTTTTTAATTTATCAAAAAATACCTTGTTCAATTACGATTCTTCTGGCTTTTACAGATCTTAATTTGATTAATTAAATCATCTGTAATCGCTTATGTAAGAATCGCCGGGCGGAACTCTATTTCCGCCCGATTCACATTCGCCGGGCGCTGACGTCATCCTGATGCCCGCACCCTTATTTCCTTTTTTCGTGAATTTTAAATATATTTCCTTTTCATTTCTTAATATAAAATTCATATAAAATATTATTCTTTGAGGAAAATTCTGAATAATTACTAGATATTATATTACATCCCTGTGATCGACCTAGAAAATTACCGTTATTTTTGGAAGTTTTATTGAATTATAATTGATATATTTGTTCAGAAATACTTCTAAATATCTGAAATTTCATATTTTCTAGTTTTATAAATTTTATATTTGCGTGATTTAATATACAACGACTAAGTCACGTCAATCCATGACAATCTTGATGTACTTTAGGTAATCTCTTCTTCACGATGATTTTGGGCATAAGAATGTCGTTGACTTGGTCTAGATTTCTCTCCTTTTTTCTTTAACTAGCCACTACTAGAGAGAGAGCCAAAAAGCACCTTCCAAGAGGGGGGGCGAGTTGCCTTAACCCTTTAGAGAATTAGGCCCCTCCAATGGACGGTTATGATTAATAATTGACTCTCTTAATGGACGGCCCATATTCTTCTATGAGGGCGGCGCTCTAGTCCTCCTCTTAATCTCACCTTGCAGTGCCCTAAGATGAGCGGCCTAGATTTCATCTCTTTGTAACCCTTTTAAGTCTAAATGAACTAGGCCAAAGTGATGCCCTCTCTTGTGCCTAGAAACATATTAGGCTGACCTTCTCCATAAAATTTAGGCTTTTCTTTAGACTGAAGGCTTGGACTTCTTTCATTACTTCAAACTCATAATAAGTCTTTACAATCAAATAATCATCAAGAAATTGTGAGAGAATCACCACTTGACTTCATAAAAGTCAAGTGGGGTTAGTCTCATAATATAGATAAAAAAAATAAATATATATCAATTAGGACTTAAATGATAAAATATTATGAATGTCATAATGAGTTGGTAACACATGTATACTAATTTATAATTATTAGAGAGTCATAAAAATGTTGTCATGATCTATGATGATAGATTCTAGAAATCCATAAAATCACACAATGTCTCATATGAAAATTAATGCCATGCCTTTTGCTATGATGGGGTGCCAAAGAACTGAAAAATGATCATACTTAGTCAATCCAAAGTGGCTAAGATTGAGTTGTATCTATTTGATGCTGGTAGTCCTTCAATAGTCCATGTTGATATCTACCTAGATCTGTGCTAGAATTAGGAGGGGCTGGAGGAGGCTGCTAGGGGTGAAAGATTTTATTTTGTTTCATTGATTGACCTTGCAGCTAGCGACAAACTTTTGAACACACAATTTGATGTACTTCCAATGAACATTTTGTATAATCCATCGGTATGTTCTTTGGAACCCATAATGCCCTCCAATGATTGAGTTGTAAAACTCTCACAATCTATGAGCAATGAGCCACGAGTTTTCAAAGATGACAAACCACCCTCAATAAAATAGTTGACCCTATTGTAAAGAGTAATGTAGGTAGCACTCTAGCTGTTACATGATCTTGGAGAGAAACGGGCTTGATCTATTTTGTTTTGCAATGATTTGTGCATCAAGCAATTCTGGTCAACTCAGCTCAATTGTATATAAGAGATTGTCAAAAAGAACTTGAAACAAGGGATCCATTGACTTATTCTCACTCCCAACTTTAAATCTAACTTCAAAATCAAATAGTATTATTTTTCAAAGCCATTTTTTATATTCTTGGAGTATCTGATGTTGATTCATGATGAATTTCAAGCTCTTTTGACTTATGTATATCACAAATCTCTTCTCCAATAGGCACTTCTTCCACTTCAAGATTGTGAACACTATGGTGAGCAACTCTTGTTTAGAGACCGTTTTCAACTTCTCCACTATTATCAAAACTTTATTGAAGTTAGTGATAGGTCGTTGTTGATAAGTCTTCATGATCATGAGTTAATAATTAATTAATAATATAGTTTTAGCCTTAATTTATAATAAATAACATATTTATATTAAATTATAAAAAGTGATTTTTAGTTGGTTAATATGAATTTTTAACTAATTATGTGATTTTATTAAAATATATATAATATTTCTAATCATACTTTTGAGATAAATAAAATAAAATAAAATAAAATAAAATAAAAAGATAGAAAAAGGGAGGAATCCGCCAGTCAACTAGGCCCACAAGTTGGTCAAAAGAACAATCAGGTAGTGTTGTGAGCAAGTGCTCGAGCGACAAAGGATAGACCTATAGGAGACACGTGTGCATCACTCCCTTCCCATGTCACTAATGGCAAATTGGGCATGGGGCAAAGAGTGATCGTACATACAAGAAAAAAGGACACATTGATTGCGTAATCTTGTATTATTATATATCTATCTCAAAACTTGACATATTACTAATGTAGGACTAAACTAGTAATCATAGTCTTCTCAGAAGATTTTAGTAATTTTATTACCTAAACTATCCCTTATTTATCAGAAGGAGATGTCCTTATGATGTCACTTTATAAGAGTATTTGTATACTTATTTCACTCTCTCTTATGTAGGCAGGCGATTGACGATGGTTTGAATCCTACTAAAACCAAAACTCATATTTTTATCTGATTAAATCATGATTTTTCGACAGATTTTTGGTGAATACTTAAGTTACCATAGTCATTCAATTATTGACAAAAATCTCATCAACACGATTTGCAGAGCATTGTTACTAAAATTATTGAATAATACTAGATAAAAGGATCGTGAATCTATCAAGTAAAATATCTCCAACTGATCAACGAACAAGTCGTCATCGAGAAGATGACAATTTGTTGAGAGACGAGTCATCATGTTCAGAGAGCATACAAAATGTCATGAAGAGCCTTCTCATGATATGTGGACCTAAGGATGAAGCTCCCAAAGACATGCTCTATCCATTAAGCTCATCTCCATTGAGTGACTGATGTGGTTCTAAGTTATTATTAGAATCATCAATAAATTTAAATAATTTATAGAACTAGATTTACCAAAAAAATAATTTTAAATGGATATAGTGGTGAGCTAGGTTTTCTCCTCAGAGAAGGCTTTTAAAAAAATCTTTTTACTCTCTAATTTGAATAGTTATGAAATTGATTACAAGAATTGAATACATATTCAAAATAATAAAGGAAATAAAATGGAAAATAAATATAAATAGGAATTTAAAAATTAGATAAATTAATATTAGTAAATTAAATATTCTTTAGAATGATAAAAATACAAAATAAATAGGTAAATAAATGATTAAACATAATAAAATAAAATTATTTCACAGATCAAATAAGAAAATAATAAAAAATCTATTAAAAATCAAACTTACAACCCTTAGAATGTATGGCTTGATGTCGAACTCTCGGTAGTGCTTCTTAGTCTTGCATCTAGTTCAACGGAATAGATTTGAAGTGAAAAAGGTAGAGGAGAACAATCAAAATCAACGATGTAGTCTTCAAATTCCTACTTTCGAATGAGAAAGGAGAACAATATTTTCTCTCAAGAACAACTTGAAAAAACCCTCTTTCTCTCCCCTCTTCCTCCTTTTTGTACCTTAGATCCGCAAATTGCATTTTCTATTTTGGCTTCTTATTTTTTATCATATTTTTCCGATTTTTTTCTGATTTTTCTAGCATTTTCCCCTTTTCTCGTGTGGTCATAATTGATATTATCTATTTTACTAGATGATAATTGATATTTGAACATATACCCTTCTACATGTGCAAGAGAATAATCAATATCATCTATTTTACCAAACAATAATTGATATTTGTAAATATATCCTCTGACATGTGGTTTGATGAAAACTGTTAGATCCTTGCACAGTCATTTTGCTCTAAAGAGGAGTGATGTGCTTTATCAGGATCTATGTGCATCGGATGCCACAATAGCCACTGTTGGATTGGCGATTACTTTTCGTGCATTGATGGCTGCAACATGGTGTCTCCTAGATCATCGAATCTGCTAGCAGTTGCCATTGGATCATGGAGCTACTTTTTCCTATGATGGTGGTGGTGACATGCCTTCATGTAGTGCGTTAGATCTGACCACTACTATCACCCTACCATTAGATCTGAAAAGAATAACTAGATACATTTAGACCCATATTGGAAGTATTATGCGTGTGTTATCATATATAATAATGATGACCTCTGATTATATTTATTCTAATGCCTTTAATTTTTGAAAAAATTACATAAAATATATTTTAATAAATCATAAAAATTTAGCACAATATGATTTTATTTAAAAATAAAATAAATGAGAGTTAAGCCTCAAGATATGAAATAAATTCTCATTAATTTTATTTTTATTCATAAAATATCAATTTAAATTAAGACTTAGAGAGGTTCATTTAAACAATAAATAAAATAATTAACATGATAACTTATCAAATATATATTGTTCTCCTTGATTTGATAATAGATTAACATATAGTTTTCACAAGTTATCAATGATAGTTGCCTAAAAGTGACAAAGTTATGAGTTTTTCTCTCCACTAAGTGATAACTGTTAGAGATGATTGAATAACTCACTTCATTAATTTTTAGACTTCACAAGAAGATCTACAAATTGTCCATGTTGTCTATCACCAAGGAGAGGCTTCAAAGCTGTCCACATTACACAATAATCTTTTTGAACACATAAAATTTCAGAAATTACTATTGCAAGGTTGGAACTCTACCTTTCTTATTTTAAACTTAATTTTCATTTAATTTAGTGACACTTTGTGTGATTTCAAGTTTTGAAACTCTTCTTCATTAAATTACAATTCTTTTGCTTTTACAGAATTGAATTTAACTTGTTAAATCATTTGTAATCGCTTACATAAGGATCACCAAGTAGAACTCTATTTTTGTTCGATCATTCATTGACGCTGACATCATCTTAATGTTTGCACCCTTATTTAATTTTATTGTAAATTTTGAAACATATTTTATATTCATTATTTAGTCTAAAAATCATAAAAACTTATGTTCTTTTAATTTTTTTTGAAATATTACCTGATATTATATTACATCCTTGTGATTGACTTAGAAATTTTCAACTATTTTTAGAACCTTTTATCAAATTATAATTGGTTTATTTATTCTGAAATATTTCTAAAAATTTAAAAGTACTATTTTCTAGTTGTATAAATTTTAAATTTGTGTGATTTATTATACAATGAGTAAGTCACATCAACCAGCCTTCTTGAAATAGTCAATACTTATTTCTCATACCATTCTCAAAGGATGTAATATAATATTGGGTAATATTTCAGAATTTTTTGTAAAAAGTATGATTTTTTATGATTTTTAGACTAAATAATGAAGAAAAAATATATTTAAAAACTTATAAAAAAGAAAATTAAAGGTGCAAACATTAGGATGATGTCAACGTTGACAAACATAAATCACGTAGAAATATAGTTCCACCAAGTGATTCTTACGTAAGTGATTATAGACGATTTAACAAGTCAAATTAAGTTTTGTAAAAGTCAGAAGAATCGTAATTTAATGAAGAAGAGTTTTAAAATTTGAAATCACACAAAGTATCAAGAAATAAAATAAAAATTAAGTTTAAAAAAGGAAAAGTAGAGTTTTAGTTTTGTGACACTAATCGTCGGAATTTTGTGTGTTCGAGAAGATTATTGTGCAATATCTACAACCTTGAAGTCTCTCTTTGGACATCGATGACATAGTCAATCTCTAGATCTCATTACCTAGTTTAAAAATTAATTAAGTGAGTCATCAAATCATCTCTGATGGTTGTCATCTAGTGGAGTGAAAAAATAACAAATTATCAATCAGAGATAATTTACTTGATAGATTCACGATCTTTTTATCTAGAATCATTTAGTAATATAGTAATAATGCTTCGTGAATTGCATAGATGAGATTTTCACCAATAATCGACTGATTATGACAACTTAATCATTTATTATAAATCTGTAGAAAAATTATGATTTAATCAATTAAAAAATATGAGTTTTGGCTCTAGTAGTATTCAAATCCTTGTGGGGCGTCTACCTACATAAGAGAGAGTTGAATAAGTATATGAATACCCTTATAAGGTGATGTCATAAAGGTATTACCTTCTAATAAAAGGGTATTTTAGGTATTAAAATTATTAAAACTTTGCGGGAGGCTATGACTACTAGTTTAGTCCCACATCAATTATATGCTGAGTTTTGAGGTAGATATATAGTAATACAAGATTAGGCAATCAATATTTTCCTTTCTTGTATGTGTACAACCACTCTTTACCCCATACTTGACTGGCCACTAGTGACATGGAAGAGGAGTGACACACACGTGTCTCCTACTGATCTTTCCTTGGTTACTTGAGCCTCTTCTCATGGCTTTGTCAGACTGTGTTTTCAACCCACTTATGGGCACCAGCTAGCCTGGTGAGTAATTTCTCTTTTTCTATTCTATTTTATTTTTCTTTATTTATCTCAAAAATATGATTATAAAAATTAAATACTTTTTTTTATAAAATCACATAATTACCTAAAAATTCACATTAACTAACTAAAAATAGTTTTCATAATTTAACATAAATATAAGTATATTTATCATAAATTAAGGTTAAAACTATATTATTAATTAATTATTAACTCATGATAATGAAGACTTATCTAGTACCCATATATAATGTCTTTTAGGCCTAGCTTCCTTCATTTCTAAGAGATAATTTCTCAATTTCCAAGCAACATATCTAATAACTTCTGGCTAACACACAATTTATCACAATAAGATTTCATATTAGAAAACTTCTTCTTGTGTTTAAGATCATTTTCATTAGAATGGTTTAACTCAAGATTGACATGCTCATTTTCTTTCTTAAGTTTCTAGCTTTCCAAACTTATTTCAACAATAATATTCTCATGCACAACACAAGGAATGGCTGAATCAGATAAATGACTTTCATTTCAGATTTTGGCTATTAAGTATTTCATTCTTTTCTAATTTTGATTCAAATAGATTTTTCTTTTATTAATGAACCAACGTCCTATTGCAATTCATTAGCCGTAGGCAAAGATGTTTTCCCCATCTTAGAATGAAACAAGATTCTCATGCATGGATGCATGCATTTACGTAGTTTTCGTTCCGTAACATCAGCTCTTGGACAACAGGAGCTATATATACAGATTCGTAACGTGGGGGAGAGAGAGAGAAAGAGAGCACTAACCTCCTAGAACGAAACAAGATGCGCATGCATGAATGCATGCGTGCACTCACGTAGTTTTCGTTGCCTAGCCTTAGCTCCAGGATATCAAGAGCTATGGATCCAGATGAGAGATAGCAAGGGAGAGAGAGAGAGAGAGAGAGAGAGAGAGAGAATGTTCAGCTTTACTGTGATAGACCATAGTGTTGAAACCTCGGGTAGTCCCCGAAGATACGACTTCGACATGGATGAGGAAGAGCTGATTGTCGAGGTAGTGAAATATCTCATCGAAGAAAGCTCCGGGATCGAACCAGACGAGCAGATCCTCATGCATGACTGGCGGGCGATGAAGGACGACACAGAGCCGCTCCCCGTCGACCCTGACGCCCATTTGGACATTCACCTCTATCGCCGGCCGCCTTTCGACCAGATGCTCTACATCGTCAGCCAACGCGGATCGGACTACTTCCGCTCTGCCCACCACGGCGGCGCCACCGTCGCGGACCTAAAGAGGCGTCTCGCGAGGACGTTCCTGGTGAGGTCTGGTGATCCACTGAGATCCTTCGCCCTCATCTCCCCATCGAGGTTTTTCTGGGCAAGGAAGACGAGTTGGAAGATAGGAGGCAGGAGATTTGCGTCTCCGCGAAGAGGGATACCGAACCTTCACTATGGCGCCTGAGGATACCTTTGACATGCTGGTCGGACGACTGGAGCTTGAAGGGGAGCAAGTCACCTTCGGCTCAGATGGGTTAGAGTTTGATAATTGGAAGACATTAGGGGAGTACCTGTTGACTCATGCCATGCTGAGGATTTCTGAATAGTCAGTGATATTGTCATGACGGGGGAAGGGAGGTCTCTGTTCTCTCTAGAACTACTAATATCTGTCTGCTAATTCAGTGTCTTCGCTTATAGTTTAAAGTTATGAGAGGATTTATATGATGAAGAGGGTTCTGGGTTTTGATAAAACGTCAAACCTTGGGATCTTGAAGAATGGTATGATTTTCGGAGCCCACAATGCAGAGATTTGGGACGTGCGATGTGTGTTGGCGATTTTACTTATTTATACACATGGATATGAGTTTTATTTTTCTAGAAAGACGAGATTGGTGAAGATAACACCGGAAACATCTGACGTTTGGGAAGAGCGTCTTTTACCCCTTTTAAAGGTTGTGATTTTCGGAGCCCCCAATGCAGGGGCTTGGAATATCCGATCTGTTCTGGTGATTTTACTTGTACACTCGTTATGTGCATTTTCTTTGTCAAGAAAGACGCGACTGATTAGAATAATAGAGGAAAAAAAATTGACTTTTGGGAAGGACGTCGACCCATTCAATACGTTACGTTAAAAGTTATGCGGGAATTTATTTGACGAATGAGAGTTCTGGGTTTTATTGAAAACCCAAACATGAGGATCTTGAAGAATGGGCATGCTTTTCGGAGCCCACAATGAAGAGATTTGGAACGTGTTATCTAATGTTGGTGATTTTACTTAGTTATACACATGCTATATGATTTCTTTTCTCCTCAAAAGACGAGATTGATGAAAATAATACTTGAAAATTTTGATCCCTTGGGAAGCACGTCGCCCCACCCGCCTTTAAAGGTAACCTCACTTGAAAGTTATGAATGGAAATATAAGACGAATGAAAATTATGGGTTGGGGTGACTTAAAGAATCTATATGTGTTCGGGACCATGAATGGAATGTGTGATGTGTTGGTGAATTTTATTCATACACGTGGTATATGCTGTTCCCTTACCTAGCAAGATGAGAATCATGAAAATAGTAGATAGAAGATCTTACTTTTGGGAAGAACATCGCCTCCATTAAAGGTAGTGTTACTTTTAGGTCATGAGTGGATTCATATGGCAAATCACGATTGTGGGCTTATGGTAAGAGTCAACCCTGTAACGATTTTGAAGAACCCGTATGCTTGGTAGCTGACTTTTCTGTAGAAAGATAATAGTATCTTTGGAGGTCGTTCGACTTCGGGCAAGACGAAACGAAACGAGATGATTCTCACTCTAAGCCAGTTCAGAGGGTAGCTCGTTGACTTCACCGTCCTGGTGATGCGACGGGATCAGATGAACTCGCCCGTGATTGGCGGAAAACGGAGTTCCAAAACTGTGACTTTCAAAGTCTGTTTTTCACCCAAACAGAAATCTCATTCGTCAAATAAGTTGTTAGGGCGTCACCGAAACGGACGGCGGAGGCCAGTTCAAATCCCCCGATTCCAACCTAACCTGGAACGATCTTCCGGATCTCTCTTTCTCTATCTCTGTCTCTCTCTATCTCTATCTCTCGGTGAGAGAGTCATGTGCGTTGTGCATGCGCGTGGTCGTCCCCGCGTGGCTATCGCTGTAGTATAGAATGTCATCCTGTGACGGAGAAGAAAAGGAGGAGGCTTTATTGTTGACGGGATTATGGGGAGGAGAGAGCCCTCCTGCCCATCACCACCGCGGGCGGCACGGCGAGCGCAGCAACAAGCTCGCACCATCGCCCAAATCCCTAAACATGAGCGTTTCCAACAGCAGCACCACCACGTCCTCCACCAGCGGCAACTCCCATTCCCCGGGCCCCCCCCACCACCACCTCCACAACCAATCCCGCCGATCCTCCACCGGCGGCACCGGAAGCGGAAGCCCCGGCAGCGCCGCCAGCCCAACCCAGGCCTGCGCGGCCTGCAAATACCAGCGCCGCAAGTGCAACCCTGATTGCACCCTCGCACCCTACTTCCCCGCCGATCATCACCGCCAGTTTATCAACGCGCATCGCCTCTTCGGCGTCAGCAATATCCTCAAGACGCTCCGGGGACTCGACCACCCGCAGCGCACTTGGGCCATGAAAAACATCACCTTTCAGTCCAACATGCGCTCTCAGGACGCCGTCGGCGGCTGCTACCGTATCATCTTCGACATCCAGCGCCAGATTGAAGTCGGCTTAGCGGACCAAGAGCAGCTCGTCCGCTACCTCGCCCTTTGCCGCGCCCAGGCCCAGGCCCGGGTCAACAGCCAGTCCTTCCTCCCAGACGCCAACGTCATTGGAAACCCCATTGCCGACGACCACCAGCTACACCAGCAGCAACCATTCCTGTACTACTGCGCCGGCGGCGGCGAAGCCAGCGGTAGTGTCGTCAAGACTCACGAAGGAGGGGTCGATCCGCCCCCGTCTTCGTCCCCCCTTCGTCTCTGCGGCATCGATCTTGGGCAAGATCTCCAGCGCCCGGAGAACGACGAAGGCCACCACGAGAGACTGCCGCTGGATATGTTCGAGTTGAGGAACCATCAGCCGACGACATTCCCGGCGGCCATCGAGGAAGAAGACGTCCAGAAAGGAGTGTCTACCCTGGACTTCAGGTCATTTCCAACGATTCATGTGCGTAGGATTATTGATCTTAGGGCGAATCATTTTTTAAGCATCTCTGTTTTTCTGCCCCTCGCCATCAACGGCGCTTGGAAATCGCATTAGTTGCATCTGACATCATTGACCCTGTCGAGCGTAATTTCAGAAAAAAACCAAAATAATAGGTTGATAGGAAAAGGTTAATTAGCATTGCTCATAAAGCGTGAAAGGTATTAACCATCCAATAGTCTGGGACCCATGTAAGAGTTGAAAAAGTAGATCTTATTTTGACGGCATCATTTATCTCCACTAAGAGATTTATTTCTTACTATTAGGCATGAGGAAATTCCAACATATTACTATGTGCAAGCCACCTTTTGAATTTGTTACATAGAACTCATGATGTTGTACAAAGGCGAAAGGCTCTCTATACTTAGAAACCAGTTGATTATGAGTAATACCCGTACACTTTATTTATCTCATTATTTTCTCATCAAGCATGCAATCAATATTAGTATTATCATCCTCCTCATTAAGAACAGAAAATATTAATGGGAAGATGCATGCTGACTGTTAGAGTGTGATTTTATTTGATCATTTTCTTGTTGGTGATGTGTTGCAGCATGGCCAGATTGGAGATGGCAGAAGACAACAACAACATGTCAGGCCAAGTACAAGAGCACGAGTTGAAAAGTGCTGCCTCTCTATTAAAGCTCACCAACTGCGACTTGTCTGGTAGATGAAGAATGCTCGTGTTAGTTCTGACATGGTATATAAGTAATATTTATAAATGGTATTGTTGCCTTCATTGCATTCTTGATGAACGCCATTTTTTCCTTATTTTAATGCATAGTTATAGTTGGTATGGACACATTGTTTATATCATCAACAATATAGAAATATAAAGATACATCACTTACATTAGAGATAAAGATTTATGTAGTCCCAAAATGGAAAAGTAAACTGAGTTTAGATAGGATTAATACATTATAGTGAACTTATGTTAGTTTTGGTGTATAAGTTAAATACTGATAAGTCTTTATTTTCATAAGTTAATAATTAATTAATAATAATTTTAGCCTTAACTCTTAATAAATAGACTTATATTTATGTTAAATTGTGAAAAATAATTTTTAGTTAGTTAATATGATTTTTTGGCTAATTATGTAATTTTATGTGAATTTATCTAATTTTTATGAGATAAATGAAGAAAAATAAAATAAAATAAAAATATAAAAACGAGGGGCATCCATCGGCCAACTAGGCCTGCAAATGAGTCTAAAGCACAGTCGGCCATTGCTGCGAGTAAGGGCTCGAGCAGCTGAGGACAAACTTGTAGGAGACACATGTACATCACTCCCCTTCCACACCACTAGTGGCCAGTCGAGCATGTGGCAAGAAGTGGTCATACATACACAAGAAAGAGACCCATTGATTAAAAAATCTCATATTATTATATATCCACCTCAAAATTCGACATATAACTGATGTGGGACTAAATTAGTGCTTACAACCTCCCCGAAAGGTTGATCCTAATGACTTATTACCTCAAATATCCCTCAAATATCGCTTATTTATACCTCAAATATCCTTTATTTATTAAAAGGAGATATCCTAATGATGTCACTTTATAAAGGTGTTCGCGTATTTATTTCACTCTTTCTCATATAAGCAGGTGATCGGTGAGGTTTGAATCCCACTTGAGCTAAAACTTATATTTTTATCTAATTAAATCATGATTTTTCTGTAGATTGTCAGTGAAGAATTTAGCCACTAGAATCGCTTAATCATCAACGAAAATCTCATAAATATGATTCATAGAGTATTGTTACTAAAATTACTGAATAATTCATAATAATAGAATTCTGAATACATAGAATAAATTATCTCTGATTAATCGATGAATAAACTATTGTCAAGAAGAGGACGATCTGTTGAGAGACAAGTTGCCACCTCATGAAAACATAATAGATGTGATGAAGAGACTATTCTTACTACGTGGACCTAAGGATAAAGCTCTCTAAGACGTGTTCCACCTCTATCAAACTCATCTCCGTCGAGTGACAATTACTGGAGAGCCACAAAGTCATCATTTTTCTATTCTACTAAGTGATAGTCACTGAAAATGATTTGACGACCCACTTCATTAATTTCTGTAAAAAAATCTAAAGATTGCCTATGTGATCCTTGTCTAAACAAAGCTTTTGAGATTGTGAACATCGCACGGCAATCCTCCCGAATGTTCAAGATTTTGACACATCACCAACACATCACTGCTACGACGCTATAACTCTATTTTACTATTTTTTAACTAGTTTAACTTCAACTATCATTTTCTAAACTTTAAAAAAAGATTTAATAAATGTTCAAGTCGTTTGTCTAAGGAGAACCTTTGAGGTCATAGACATCGCACAATAATCATCTAGAACACACAAAATTCTAGTAATTACTGACGTAAAACTAGAACTTTACCTTTTCTACTTTCAACTTAATTTTCACTTAATTTAGTGATACTTGGTGTTAGTTTTAAAACCTTCTTCATTCAATTACAATTCTTCTAACTTTTACATATCTTAATTTGACCCATTAAATCATTTGTAATCTCTTACGTAAGAATCGTCCGGTGAAACTCTAGTTTTCCTCTAAATGATATTCCTCAAGGTGTTGATGACATCTTGACGTCCACACCCTTACTTCTTTCTTTTGTGAATTTTTAAATATATTTTATATTCATCATTTAGTCTAAAATTTATAAAAAATTATATTTTTTAAAGAAAATTTTGAAATATTACTATATATTATTTACATATCTATAATCAATTTAGAAATTTCTTACTATTTTTAGAATATTTTATTAAATAATAATTTATTTATTTATTTAAAATATTTCTAAAAATTAAAATTTAGTATTTTATAATTTTATAAAATTTAAATTTACGACATTTATTATACAAAAACTAAATGACATCAAATACTCAAAGTGAAAAAGGACAAAAAACTATCAATTTCAAATTGGTGAAACATTGTCAACCAAAATGTTATAGCATGTGATCATTGTTACAGATTTTTGTTAAATCTTTTTTGAAGAAATCCTTTGCTTACCTTTTTTTACTTTTAATAAATCTTATTTCTTTAGAATTAGAATGATTTCCTATTTAGAATGAAAAGGTTTGACCCTTCCATGTGTATTCAATAACTTTCAATGTTATTTATTATTGCTTCAAGGTTTTTTTCTCCTCCCTATCTTCTTCTATGCCATAATCAATGGTTCTTACCAATTGCAAGAAATATGTCTCCTCTCTCTCTCTCTCCCTTTGTCTCTCTCTCTCTCTCTCTCTCTCTCTCTCTCTCTCTCTCTCTCTCTCTCTCTCTCTCTCTCTCTCTCTCTCTCTCTCTCCCTCTCTCTCTCTCTCTCCTTCCCTCTCTCTCTCTCTCCCTCTCTCCCTCTCTCCCTCTCTCTCTCCCTCTCCCTCTCTCTCTCTCTCTCTCTCTCCCTCTCTCTCCCTTTGTCCCTCTGTCCCTCTCTTTCTCTCTCTCTCCCCCCTCTCTCTCTCTCACCCTCTCACTCTCTCACTCTCTCTCTCTCTCTCCTCTCTCTCTCTCTCTCACCATCTCACTCCTCTCACTCTCTCACTCTCTCTTCTCTCTCTCTCTCTCTCTCTCTCTCTCTCTCTCTCTCTCTCTCTCTCTCTCTCTCTCTCTCTCTCTCTCTCTCTCTCTCTCTCTCTCTCTCTCTCTCTCTCTCTCTCTCTTTCTCTTTCTCTCACACTTTATATATATATACTATATATCATACATCTACCTATCTATTTATCTATCTATATTTACAAACCTCGATAGTTACAACGTGTGTTAGTTGTTTCCTACATAACATCATATGGATCTAAGTTTGGCCTCTTTCATATAAATTTAGTAACATTCAATTTTAGGCAATAAATTAAGAAGGGGGGTTGAATCCATCAATTTATGACTTGACTTTGTTCAACTCTTTCCAAGATCTAAGATATTCTCATAAAATCCCTAGTCCTCTTATAAGAAAAGATCTAGAGGTGATGAATTCATGGATTTTTAGAGTAGTTTGGCCTCCTTATACCCACTCTCTAAGAATAAAATAAAACTATTAGGTAATCATTTTGAATCATGATTATCTTAATTTGTATTACTATGACTCAGAAAATTGTAAAAAAATAACATTATTTTTCAACATATATTTTTAAATATTTAAAAAATGTATACTAAGAGGTCCAAATTCAATTGATTAATTTGATATAAAAATCATATAAAAATAATGATGTTGTCAAGAGTACATAATAGATTAAGTTTTCAGATTTGTATTTTACTTCATGAATTCCTTTTTATTTGTATGTATTATTCATTACATGCCTCTATATGATAATTTTCATAAACATTCGTAATTTCTATAGTAGTATATAAATTAAACGACATGGTAAAATCAAATAAATAAATACATAAATTCAAGATGATGAGTTAAAAATACACAATGAATTCATATTTACATATATGCATTATTATTTTGAAATATGTTTCTAATATTGTACATGTATCAAGAATAATGCAAGTGACTTACAATTCAATCACTCAATTGATCTTACTAAATATTATTAACTGTTACAACATTCTTTGTGTTTTGATGATAGGAAAACATTTTTGCACCATACAAAGATTAATTAAACATACTTTATAGATACATAATTATTTAATACCTAGAGAGTCTTAGAGACTGACCTTCTCGAAATGGCCGCCACCCCCATTTCCCCTACATTTCTCAAGGGATGTCACTTGTGAATCGAGTCCCTTGATTATCTTTCCCTCTTAGTAGTGTTGAAGTCAATATTTGTCTCATCTAGTGAAGTGGTCTCTATAAGACAGTCTGATTGTTTGAAAGTATCTTCCATCTTATTATTTCAATAAGAGAAAATCTCTTTTTGTCTCGTCTCAATCCCTAAATACTCATCACAATCTAATAAGATAACTTATAAACTCTTGAAGTCACTTGAGAGTTTAGTATGAGAGTGATGTTAGATCCCTCAATAAATGAAAATTATTCCATAAGTAAAGGAGATGAGAGGGACAAGTGGAAGGGTATTTGGTAAATTCTAGGTAAC